TGTAAACCGCTTAGAGAGGGCTGGAAGCCCTATGAAGTGGTATATAAGTCTAACTGCTATTGGTATTGCTATTGTAGGGAAGACATAATAAAATAGAAGGCCATTCTGAAGAGTAAACAATCATCATCTGCTCTTCAGAGGGCAGGAAACAACAACCAAAGGAGGGGAGTTATTAAATTGACTGAGAAGATAGATGTTCTATGGATATGTATGATGGGCAAAGGGGAAAGCTGAAAAACCAAATGTCCTGTTTCTTGGTTGAGGAAAGTATAGTTAGTTTATTGACAAATAATACTTTGGGCACTTACAAAGACAGGCATTGACTTCACTTTGCAAATTCACATGTGTTCTAGGAAAATGAGGCCTTGCATAATCTGTGCAGAAGTCTAGATTTCAGTCCAGAGTTGTAGCCACAAAAAGGCAAAGTATAGAACACATTTGGGGAAACAAGTTGAAGTAGTGACCAAAAAGCAAGGATGGTTCCCAACAGTCCAGGCTAAGAACCAAGAGCAGAGCAGAAAGCAAATCTATGGTTGGAGAGGGTTCCCTCATTAATGAAGGCCAGTTGCTAGTAGCTATTCTCTTAAGAAGGCAAGCTGCTTCCCAGCAATTCAATTCAGCAATTCAGCCTTTGCTCGGCTCTCTGAAGCTGCTGAGCATCCATCCAAGATGTGGCTTCTCATCCCTCCAGTCCTTTTTTCACCTGATCTGGCTGATGAGTTGATGAGTCAGCTTAAGGTGGTTGATTACCAGCTAACTCTTGAAGTTGGCAACATGATGGCTCAAGTTCCTTCAGCCTCTGGCTCCAAAGGAATCCCAGAAGTCCACAGAAGTCCACAGAAGTTCACCAGGGAGAAGGTAACATTTTCAGAATCCTGAAATCCTGAAATCACTACTGGCTTTGAATCCACACAGATACAATCCATATTCTAATGTAGACTAGATCTCTCATTTAAAAAAAATAGTTGATACAGAGTTCTTTGGGGATATCTAAGCTTCAGAAAATGGAAGGAATTTTCAGAGAGCTTTGATTCATTTTCAGAATGAATTAAGGTGAGTCAAAACATCAGGAAAATCTGCTTCCAGTTGCTGCAACTTCAGATTCCCCCTGTTTTATGCAAGCCAGTTTTGCTTGGAGGCCCAATGTCACTTTGACCCAGGCAGCATTCAGAAGCTGCCTGGGGGGACTGCTAGCATTTTAACCAATTGAAAAACATGAAAAGATTAACACCCTAAGGGTATGTTGTGACTGTTTTAAGTTTACCCTGGCAATTAAGCCTCATGTCTGCATTATAATTATTATTTTCTACTGCCTCAGGGGTCCTTAATTAAATTCTTTTTTTAAATAAAAAAACTTGTTAATTTATGACTGTGCTATACATATAATATAGAAAGCTTTTAAAGTATTTTAAAATTCATTCTTGGAACTGTGAGGCCACGTATAAGTCGAAGCATTCCACTGAATGGGATGTTCTCAGCAGACGTGTAGAACTGCATTGCCTGAGTACATAAACTTCATTTTTGAAAACGGTTCAACAGTTTGATGCATTTTTAGTCAGACAAGTTTTATCTGAGGGAGGTTAGCTGCAGAGTGAAGGTTTAAACCAGTTGTCGGGCCTGCAGTTATATCCCTTTTAGAATCTTTGGCCTGCCACACTCTCTATTATTTCATTATGCTGTTTAATCAGTATAGTAGTTGGGAAGGGGGAATAGAAAGGAGTAGAATTGTGGAATGTGTTGTTGTCATTCTTTTATAGAAGATGACAAAAGGTCATCTTTTGTCTCCGCACCTCTGCACCTGAACGGAACCAGCTGGGTGGAGATGCCAGCATGGAAGAAGAAGATTGGACCATGTGATGGATTTATGGGTGTGGGGACAAGATCATGAGCCAAGGTGGCGCAGTGGTTGAATGCAGCACTGCAGGCTACTTCAGCTGACTGCAGTTTTGCAGTTCGGCTGTTCAAATCT